GCGACCAAAATCTAAGGTGGGGTGAATCTGTGACCGAACTTGTAATGTCGTGAATTCCAGAAGTAAGGTCTGGGTGGCAAATTTCTCAGGCGCAAGCGGCCCAGAGGGAAAAGTTGACGCATCCCTGGTCTGGCCAGCCATGGCTTTAGTGAGTTGTCCAAAAGAAAGGAGACAAGCAGGGGGTGGGAGACACTTTGGCCCTGGTGCCAGTGCCTCATGCCAAAACACCCATGGACGGGCTGGCATTCTTCTCCAGCCCACGTGGTTTGACACTCCTGCTGCCTCCAGGGAAGGAGGGATCGGAGGGAGATGTGGAAGGGAAAGCACAAAGGGCCCCTCTGTTGCTTTGCAGACCCCTCCCCTGCGTCAGCCAGCCCTGCCTGCTCGGAGCCACATGACCACTGCCAGCCCTGAGCCAGGCTTCCTTTGTGGGAGGTAGACTCAGACTCAGGGCGAGCCCTTGAGAGCGGAGCACAAGTGTGTCCTCCCAGGAGGTTGGCAAGGCCGTGACCGGTCAGAAACATCGCAGACCTGCCTTCGAGCCCCCTCCGGTGGGTTTGAACCTCCATCCTTTCAGCTGGGAAATGAGTGCCCGGGAATGCCTTTTCTTTTGCCTTACCTGTGAGCTCTTCTTTACTGACTGCTTTCCATCCTCGTGTTCTTAAGAAGGCACTTCTCCGACACTTAGGGCCCCCTAAGAGTATCCAACCTGGCCCCTGTGTCCCAGGGCCTCCCCCTTGGAGCATGCGCTATCTCCGGGTTTCATGGGCTTCCACAGAGCTGGTTCTCCAGGTCCCCCTCCCGACCGATCCCTGCATCCCAGACCATCAGGCCCTGCACTGCCCACCCTCAGTCTTTGTAATAGGCCCTCCTGGGGATGATGGTTTCCACAGTGGTTTTATAACAGGCCTGGCTCAGGGTGGGGACACCCCTGTGCTGCCAAGGCACCTAATTGAGGTGGGTGTTGAGGGAGGCAGAAGCTAAAAACAGTCCTGTGGGGGGAGAGTTTTCCAAGGTGGGGGCCCCATTTTCAGATCCCCACTGGGTGGAGGGGTGGGTGAGTATGCACACATTGAAAGGGTGGGAGAGAAGAGAGGGAGGCCTTGCTAAAAATACAGCTTATCCACATCTTGTTAACTAGTTGTCCCGGAAACCACTGGAAACAGAGCTGGGAGGGGAACCCAAACCCTGGCCCCACTGCCTGCCTGCTGGGGCTGAGGACCCTGCTCCCTAAGGCCTCATCCCCCCCCCCACCCATGAAGCCCCGTGTGGCCTGTAGCTCCTCACCCATGCCCAGCACATGTGAACCCCAAAATAACCTTCAGTGGAGGTTCCCTTGCTTTTAAGAGGCACTGTCCTTGAAACAGGGGAGCCCTGGAATTGATCATGCAGTCCCTGAGAATGAATTATTCGGTCCCCTGGTCCTTCTTAAAGGAGCCCTGGTGGGTTACGTGTTGGGCTTCTAACTGCAAGGTCAGAAGTTCAAAACCACCAGCTGATCCTCATGAAAAAGAGGCGGCTTCCAGCTTCTGTTCAGATGTACAGCCTCGGAGACCCAAGGAGGGCAGTTCTGCTCTGCTCTATAGGGTAGGGCTATGAGTAAGAATTGACTGGATGGCAATGAGATTTTGTTCTGTTTTTCTTTTTCGGTTTGGGCTCTGTTGAAAGAGTCCCTGGGAGGGATAGACGGATTTCAAACGACACTAATTTAAAGCTTGGCGGTTCTAACCCACCCAGTGGCCACGGAAGAAAGGCCTGGTGACCTTTTCCTTTAAAGCTCACCAAGAAAACCCAGGTTTACATGAGTGGGGACCCACGCTGGCATCAGATTTGGGGGATTTGGGGGTGGCATAAAGAAAAGACAGGCAGCTGGGGGCTGCATACTAACTGCACAGCAAACCTCCCACCGAAATGGGGGTCCACCTTGAGGTGCCCTGGTTACCAGACAGCACCTGGACAGACTGTCCCCGTCCCTGGCTCTGCCCCTCAGAGAAGCCCAAGAGCAGGGGTGAATGAGGTAGGTGGTGGGAGTTCTGACCAACCCACTTCTGCCTTTGGGGACAGAAGGGAAAGTCTGAGGGCTTCACCCTTTAGAAAGGATGGGAATAAAGTTGGGGAGGAGAGAAGGGAGGCAGGAAGAGAAGAGAGCGGTAGGGAGCACAGAGGCAGAAGGAACCGTGGGGGCATGGACAGCTGTGGTGTGTGGAACCAGCAGAGTGGCGGCCTGGTGTCCCCCAGAACCTGCCCGAGGCCTGGCCCATCGGGGTTCCCTGCGCCCTTGTAAGCTTGGGCCTACTGCTTACTCCTCATCAGGGTGGAATAAAACATCACAAGATGCAGTGAAAGGCATTCCACACGTAAGGAATCCTTATTGATCTTCAACGGATAGTTCAGGGAATTTTTTTTAACTGATTACTTATTGTGCATACTCAGTGTCAGTCCACCATCCAGGAATCACACAGGCTATATTTTTTAATGTACATTCTCTCAGGCTTTGTGGGGGGTGGAGCGGGGGCCCTGCATACCAAGTTTTCTAAGTTGAGACAATGCTGTGTGTTGTGTTTTTTTTCTAACGGCTTTATTTATTGTGACTGAGCACTTTCCCACGTCGTGATTGGCCTGTAACTGACTGCACTAGTTCCTGGTGGTTGCCGTGGATGCAGCAGAAATGCTACATCTCCTCTGATTTCTAGGATGGAGATCGCCAGGCCTGTCCTCGGAGTGCCTGGGGCTGACCCTTGCCGGCAGTGTCCCCCAGGGGCTCCTCCCAGTGCACATCATTTGCATCTACATTCTGTCACTCGGTGAGGGACAGAGCTGTGATGAGACTTCTTGTCCCAGTTCCATCAACAGCAAACAAATAAATACAATAGAAAATCTTGTTTTGATTTGGATTTCTTGGACTTCTAGGGAGCTTGACAATTGCTTCTATGTATTACTTTCCAACGTCCATGGGAGCCCCGAGGACGCAGTGGTGGCTCAGCGATTCAAAACCACCAGCCCCACGGGCAGGAGACAGAGGCGGCTGGCTTGCTTGAAGAGTTGCCGCCGGGAAACTCACAGGGGCACTTCTGTCCTGTCCTGTAGGAGTGCTGTGAGCAGCGTCGACTCGATGGCAGTGGGTTTGGGTGCGTGAGTCCTTGTGTGGCGGGTTTCAGGCAGCAGTGGAGCCAGTGCTGGGGCGCCCGGGTCCCTGAGGCCCTGCCTGGCTTCCGTGCCACCACGTCAGGGTGTGTCCATGTGACCGAGATCACGTGGAGCACACAGCAAAGGGTTCAGCAAGCTGGGCTGCAAACTCGCAGGTTGGCAGTTCGACCTCACCAGCCCACTGTGGGAGAGAGAGAGGGGGCGGTCCACTTCTCAGCCCAAACTCACTGCCCTCGATTGGATAGGACAGGGTAGAACTGCCCCCGTGGGTTTTTGAAAGGGCCACTCTTCTTTTCTTCGCCCCTCGGGTGGTTTTGAACTGCTGGCTTTGCAGTTAGCAGCCCAACGCGGAACCACTGCGCTACCACCAGAGCTCTGCTGCAACCTCACGGCGCCGCCCGCCCCTGCCCCCAAAGGGTGGCTGAGTCTCAATTGTGCGTTGCTTTTCTCTCTTTTCGGAAACACGCTTCACTTCGGAAGCGCAAATGATAGAACTGCATCCCCAGAGGCGCGCCAGCTGGTCTTGGGAGCCTTTGGAGCCCAGGGTCTTCCCTCCCCGCATGGGCCAGCGCTTAAGTACGCGCTGGGGGCCGAACATCAATGGCGAAGACCCCAATCCTCTTCCTCGCTGTCACCCCCAGGGCTGCTGCTCCACGACCTGAGCATGGCGGGACTGCAGGAGCTGCGATTCCCCGAGGAGAAGCCGCTTCTCCGCGGTCAGGACGCCACCGAGCTGGTGAGTGGCTGCCACGCGCACCTGGCGCCGAGAGCACCACCTGGTGGCCAGGAAGGAAACCGCGTCTTTCCGCCAGTCTGGATGGAGCTAGCAAGAGCTGGCTGGCTACCAGGCACAGAAGGGCACCTGACTTGGCAAAGGTCACACCGGTAGCAGGGAAGGAGGCGGTTTCTGGGTGGCCTACAGCCCCAGGCAGAAACTGGAAAGTCAATCTGTGCCTTGGCTTTTCCTCACAAGCCTGAGGCCAGAGGCCTAGTGTTACCACCAGGAGCTGAGACTGAGACACTCGGGGTTACTAAGTTTCCCCAAAGCCCCCTCCCTCTGGGGACCAGGTGCTAGATTCCAGAGCTCCACCCACGCTTGTTCCCTTCTGAGTTCTGCAGTTCCTAGTGCCAAGGGAGGGCCGTGGGCCCGCCCCTCCTAGAATTCTGGGTGTCAGGCTCCCAGCTCACGATGTGGTTCTGTCTGCTCCTGACTTAACCAGAAGCTCACTTCTGCCCTACCAGGGCTCCCCTAGCTTCCCCGGGAAGCCCCCAAGCAGCAAATATTGGAGTCTGAGCAGCAAGCCAAGCTTTCCAGACATTCAGACACCATAGGCCAGCAGTCCTGTGCCCAAGAAGCGCACAATCTCAACTTTAAGGCAGAGCCTTGAAGTAACCTACAAGTGTCCGAATACCACAGCATAGCCGCTCCCAGGAGGGGTCTGGGCCCTTTGTCCTCCTTCCACTCAACCCCAGACCCTGGGTGTTCGCAAGGCCTCCTCACTGTGCCCCTGCTTCGGCCTCTGTTACACACAGTCCTCTCACTACAGCACATCACTGCCAGCCTGCCATCTCACACACAGTTACGGCCATGGCCTTCCTGGGGCCCGGAATCTGCACATCCCTGTGAATGCACACGCACACATGCACACACACACACACATGTACACGCTCTACACACTTGCTCGCCGCTGGCCCTCTCCTCTCCCTCCTCCCTGGCTGGCTGTTCCTTAACCATGGCCATCCTCTTCCCAGGATGGAACATTCCAGCATGGAAATGTGCAGGGCTGGCCCCTCATTTTATTCAGACCACCACACAAAGCCCCCTTTCTCCGAGAAGTCTTCCCGGACTGCTGGGTCCAAACCCACCGGCCCCTTCCACACACACTGCCCCAGGCTCCTGGAAGTGGAGTGCTTGCCTCCTGACCCTGTCCCTGCCTTGTGCACAGAAGGCTCTCAGTAAACAGTGGGCTGGGTGGAAGACAGGCTTGGGATCCAGTTCAAAAGAAAGACCCTTCTCCAGACCTTCTGAAATCCCCTTCTGCCTACAATCTGTCTTCTGAGGTGAGGGAGCAGACCCCAGAGCTAGTGTGAGCAGTGATGGCAGGCTTTGGGGAACCCCTGCAATCCACCAATCTTCCCTGTGGTCCTGACCAGGCCCTGTGGGACACAAGGACACCTTGTTCTGTGCACTCCAAGAAATCACCCCACCACCGTGGCTCCACCCCATATCTCTGCCAATTTGACCAGAGATATGACTCGGGGGCTGTGCCCACCATCCCCTGGCAGTGCCAGCTTCTTTCTTCTGGCTGAGCTCAAACTTTGTCTACCTGTAGCCAAAGCCAGTGTCCCGCTCTCCCCCAGCACCCTCACCTTGAGGGTCTGCATCTCCTCCCCTACTGGAGCCCCCGGATCCTGGGGTCAGTTTTTCCTCTCTGCCCAGTCAGCACACACCTTGTGTGGTGGACCTCGTCACATGCACCTTTAAATGCCACCGGTGTGTTGATTGGCCTGCCCTGACCCTGGGAACAGCTCTCTGTGTTCCCAGTGTTTGCTGGTGTTGGTGACGGGCTGGCACAGGCCTGTGGCCTCGACTTGCTCCTTCTAGAGCGCCCCCACCAGACCTGTCCCCTGCACAAGTCTCTCTTCCCAAGTTGCAATCCTTCTTTGTGAACACCCCACCCTTGAGGTCACTTCAGACTTTCCTGCCTTTGAAGATGCAAATGACAGGAATCCCAGGGCTCTGTAGGGAGCCCCTCCCTCTGCATGTGGGTCCCCTCTGCCTCACACAGCTCCTCTCAGCTGCAGTGCAGCCCCCAACCTACCCCCCCCACCACCCTTTATCCCATATGCTCACTCAGCTCCTCCTGTGGTGTCTCTGTGTTGTGGTTCTGCGACCCCACAGCCCCCCTCCCAGCTCCTGGGGTCTCCCAGCACCCTGGGTGCACACAGCACACCCTGCCATTATCTGGGTGTGTTTTTAACAAAACTGCCTCTTTCACTCCACGGAGATAATTGCCCCCTTTAGGGTCAGGAGTGTAAAAGTGTTCCCACCCCGGCTCCTGGCCAGGTCCCCTCCCCGCCATCGTGGAAGGAGTCTTCCATCAGTAAGTAATAAGCAGCTCCCACGTCCCTTCAGCTGAGTGCACAGCCTGAACTCAGCGATGGCCCCGCTCCCCAGTGTCAACTCTGAGTGGGAGCTGAGGCCTGGACAGGCTCGGGGCCAGAGGTCCCCCGGCTCGAGAGCTTCACCCTTCAGCCCTGTTAAATGGAAATCTCCGCATGTTACCCTGAGAAGCAAACGCAACGTGAAGGCTCTGTGGTGGCGTAGCGGGGTAAGCGTAGCTTGAAACCACCAGCTGCTCCTTGGGAGGAAGACGGGGCTCTCTCCTGCTATCAAGGGTGACAGTCTCCGAACCCCACAGGGCAGTTCTCCCCTGTCCTCAAGGTCACGGTGAGTCAGCATCGACTCCGCGACAGTGAGTTTGGACACTGTCAAGACCTGGTGTTAATGGTTCTCCCATCTGGATAATACGTCTTTGTCTTGCCCTTGCCCTATTTAAGACTTGATAAATAATCATAATAATTAAGACTGACCTTTTCTGCGCACGCCGCGCGCGCGCACACACACACACACACACACACACACACACACACAATCAATGTGAGCAGCTCCTGGCTCTATCTTCCAAGGACACACTGCTTCCATGCCTGCCCTTGGTAAGCCCCCGTTGCTCATGTTCACATGTAGACCCAACGAAATGTATTGACAGCAAGTTGATCCTGGTGCACGGCGACCCCAGAGAACCGAGTAAGATGGGTGGGCTTGGACTGCTGACCTTGGGCCCAAACCCATGATACCCCGAGGGATCCTGTGAGAGAGACCGGGGGATTCAACGATCAGTTCTTAGGGGTGCAGCAGGTCAGCGCTTGGCTGCAAACCCCGAAGCTGGCCATTCTAATCCGCTGAACCATTCCAGGAGAACAAGCCTGGCCACCCACCTGGGGAGGACGACAGCCAAGAAAACCCTGTGGGGGCCGAGGGTTCTACTGTCATGTGAGCTTGTGATGAAAGGAAATAGACTCCTCAGCCCCACCCCCCTGGTGACAGGCTCGCCCAAGGAACAGGCCATGTGCACTGGAGCTCTGTGGCCCCCAGGCCAGGGAGCTGACTGTCCCCTCTGTCTGCCTACCCCCCCCACCCAGGACAACTCGGATGCCTTCCTTGTGGCTGTGGACACAGACTGGAAGGTAGGTCATTCAGCCACCTGAGATGTGGAACCAAAGCTGACCAGCTCCCTCCCCCACCCGGCATGGTCCCCTGATACCCGCTGTGCTCCCACCCAGCTTCCAGGACCTTTCCCTGCTCAAAGCCCCTGGGGAGACATGTCCATCAAGGCTGTTTGACTGACCCTTCCTTCTGAAATAGGACCGGTGGGGAGGGGAAGCCTGGGGCATGGGGATGGGGATAGAGAAGGGAGTGAGGATGCTGTCATCTGAATCAGCATTTTCCACCAATGAAAGCCTGGTTGGTGCTCAAAAATAGCTCCTGTCTCCATGGCAGCCGTTGCCTGGACAACCATGTCCTCCTTCTTTGGATGCCAGCATCTCTGTGAAAACCGGGTTGCTCTTTGTTTTTATTCTTCCCCGTGATGTGATGCTCTGGCTCCCTGAGCCCTGCCACGTGTCCCCTCTCTCTCCACATGGCTCAGACCAGGCTTGGCAACTGTCCGTGGGGTGATGCACCCTGGGAGTCAGAACCACTGAGCACACACAGGCCCATGTGGGACCTTCCTTGTGGCCTGGTGGAACTAGCCTCTAGCTAGTGCCTGAAGCTCAACCCAGCCTCAGTGAGGGCCAGTTCCCAAGCCCCGTGATGGCACCGGCCTCGTGGTCTGGATGACGTGCCAGGTGGGGTGTCCACTGCCCCTCCCCGAGGCCAGCAGCTCTGCAGTGAGTACAGGTCTCTGCGTCGGTCCTTGGTCATGCGCCCCTTCAAGGACACGAAGGGAGTCTTCAGGGCACACAAGTATGCACATGCTTGGGTCCCTGGAATAACCGTGTCCATGCAGAGGGAGGAGGGGGCTGGGCACTCGGGGGATGAGGGATGGATGAGACAAGAGCAAGACATTGGAGGCAAGCAGGCCACGGAGATGGGTAATGGTTATGGCATGGGTCCCATTTCCAGGGGGGTTCTAAGCAGGCTGTCCTGCCAGCCACACACATACACATTTGCTGCATGGGGCAGGGGTGGGACAGTGTTTCAGGCACAGGGGGGAGGCCCATGCTGCACCCCTGCCTTTGGGGTCTGCAGGGTAGGGGGTTCAGGCTCATAGGGGAGGCCCATGCTGTACCCCTGCATGCTGGGTCTGCTGCTTCAAAACCTTCCTCTCTGCCCTCTAAAGAGCAGACTGCATTCAAACCCAGTGTATGCCCACGGCGAGGCCAGTTCTGAAGACCACCCTCTCCCCACTCCCACCCCAACCCCTGCAAAGGGCAGCCTGTACAAGCACCTTCCTGCTGTCTGCACCATCTCCTTTTCCCTCTCCTGAAAAGCAGCCATGAGTTTGGCGGGTATCCAGGCAAAATCTGGCAGGGAGGGCCTTTACCTCGTTTCTTGGGGGGTAGATAGAGTCGTTGCCTCTTACCCCAGTAGGCCCTGACAAGGACGTGACAGAGGGACACTCCAGAGCCTGAGTCTCGCAGACCCACTCTGATGATCCCTGGCCACATGACACTGAGGACAAGTCAGCCCACCCACCTCTGTGTGGTAGAGAAAGAGCTCAGAGCCCACGGCTGAGTCTGCAGGGTGGGGGTGCTGCCGCCAGCTGAGCACTTGGCAGCTGGCTGTGGCTACTGAGCCAAGGAGTGCCGCTGGCTCTGGGCTCAGGAGCCACACGCCACCCGGCTTCCCTCAGCCTCCATTTGCTGTCTGTAAAATGGACATTACACAGATAAGTTAAGGTTGCATGAGAAACTCAGGGAGCCCTTCTGATTGGCCACCCTTAGTCATGAGGTCTTTATCCCAAGTATCGAGGTGCTGGGGGACCCCCATGGCCCCCTCTCTGTGCCCCAAAGTCCCCATCTGTCTGTGGTAGTCCTTTCTCACAGGTTTGTGAGACTTGTCTTATTCTTGCATCCACCTCTGCACAGAGCTCTGCTCTTTCTCTCATCGTCAGACGTGGAGGCTCAGAGTGGTTGAGTGACTTCCCTCAAGGTCACACAGCAAAGAAGTGGCAGAGCTCTGCTGGAATCTGGATCCAGCTGCCTCTGCAGCCCTGATTTTAAACACCATGCAGGAGGGGCTTGGGACTGAAGCCTGTAACCACAACACCTCAAAACTCCAGCGAAGAGGCTACAGACTAGAGAGACTCCCAAATGCCCCATTGCTCTCCTGCCAGGGCCTGGGCAGAGCCTGGGGACCGGGTGGCCGGGTGGGAGACCTTGACAGGTCTTTTCATCCTCATAGCACCCTCTTTCACAGTTGGTTAGAAACTTTCACAAGATCACCCACTGAGAGGTGGGGGAGCCGGGACTGAAGCCCCAGGTCTGTGCTCCCTGAAGCCCTGGAATGGAGTGGACATGGGGGCTGCAGCCTGGAGTGTGTGGTGTCAGAGGAGAGGTCAGCACCCCACTGAGGTCAGAAATTATAGTGCCCCTAGGTCTATGGGGGCTGGAGGAAGCAGGGGCCTGCTGAAGGAGAGCCCCCTTCGCCCTCCTTTGGAGGAGGACATGGTGAAAAGGGCTGAGGACAGATCATGTCTTTGCCGCCCCCACCCCCAGGGGTCTGAGGTGGCTGCAGGGAACAGGGTCGCTGTTCCCACACCCTATGCCCCTGGCAACCTGGGGGAGCGCCCAGGACCAAGGCCTCTGTGAGAGGGCAGTGATGGGGAAGGTGCAGAGTCAGCCTCTTTGTCAGTGTGCAGACTGACTGTCAGCACAGGCTGGGGCTCAGGGCTGCCCCAGCGAGACAGAATGGGGGCAGCACTCACCTGTCACTCAGCCCAGACTCACCTCCCTGGCCCATTTCCTCTCCTCTCCTGCCTGCTGCTGTTTGATCGCCCTGTCCCACAGGCCTCTGACCTGTTCAGAGCCTGAGGGGGCCCCTGCAGCCAAGCCCATGGCCCCAAGAAAAGTGGGTCTGTGAAACACCAGGTCGCCTCCTGCACCCTCTTCTGCCTGCAGCTGAGTGGGGGTGACCCTGTGACTAGGGCCCAGCAGACTGCTGGGGGCCACCTGTCCTGAGTAGGTGGGCAGGCAACGGGCATATGTGGGCAGAAGGTGAGCAGCCCTAGAGGAGGAGCCCTTGCCTGGAAGTGAACCACTACGCCCGGTGGTCGCTGCCCGGGACCCTTCCTCAGGAGGATGCTGGCTGGTCGCGGGCAGCCTGTGCCCTGCAGGGGGTGGGGGAGGGCCTGTGAGCAGCTCCTGAGTGCTTGATGCTGTGCTTAGGGACAGTCCTTGTCGGGGTGGGGGACGGGGGGCGGGGTGAGTGGGTGCCCTGCCCCGAGTTCCTGCACCCCATTGCAGCTCTGGGGCGGAGCGATAACGGGATCTTGCAGGGAGCGCTGTGTTTTGCTGGGGCGGGAGCCGCCGCTGCAGGGCTGCGGGGATCGATGACCTCGCCAGCCAATTGGAGCCGGGTT